TTAGTCACAATGGCAAATTCTTGTGTTGCAATAATCACGAAAATGAAATATGTTTTTGTGTCTTTTTTTTTTTTTACAAGGAAGCTTCCTGGGTAGTGTTGGTAGTTGTAGTGAGGGCTGATGTTGAGGTTTGGTTTGTAGATTATGCTTGTTCGCGCAAGCACTTACCACCCATCTGACATCATCTCTGCAGTATAGTCTTATATATATTCTCACAAATGGTGCTTACCATAGAATCTGTTTTACCAATCGACAAACGGCCTCCACCGACAAGAAGGAAGATTTGTCAGAAAAGGTGTACGTTAGATCAATGCTGAAAGGTCTCTTTTGATGGTGTTTTTTTTTATTTTGTTTTTCTTTCCTTTTTGTTTTGCCTTATTTTGTTTTGTTTTCCGTATGCTGTTCTCTTTTTCTTTTTAGATCTTTCAATTTTTATCTTTATTTTTTTTTTTTAATTTTCTTTTATTTTCATATGGATTTACGCTACAGATCTTGTTTTATCTCTGGATTCTTACCAACATTCTTGTTAATATTTTGACGTAGCCGAGTAGCTTGGACGTTCACTTTCCGACCATAAGACCAGGGTTCGAATCTCACTCAGCATGATTTTTTTTCCCAGGTTTGTGACTTATAGATGTTATCAGTTGACATTCTTACTTATCTTTCTTACTACATTCACCATAATACCTCATTGTCTCTATGAAAATCCTAAGTAGCCCCCATATGTACAATTCATTGCCTGTAGAGGGAGGGGAATAAAATAACAATTTAAAAATCTAAACCCCAATGAATATTTACAAAAATGAAGAAAAACTATATACAAGAAACTAAGCAAAATAAGGTTAGTAATAAAAAAAAAACAAAACAAAACAACAATCCTTAATTGTGGTAAGACATTAGTTCACTGGACGAAATCAATGCGAGACTTTAATATGATATTCATTCATCGCAAGTACTCAGTCAACTACACACTCAGTCAAACGACAATACGAAAATCACAACTGAAAACAAAGTCGCTCCGCATCAACCAGAGAATTGACATCACTGACCACCTAAAGTGAGAGGTGGTGGGATAGAAGAAAGTTCATTACAACAATTACAGTGTAACCCGGATATAAGAGACCCGGATATAAGAGAAACCCAGATATAAGAGAGATTTTCTCTGGTCCCAAATTAGAGCCTGTGTTAATGTAAACAAAATAGACCAAACCCAGATATAAGAGAAACCCGGATATAAGAGACTTCTTCTCCGGTCCCGACAACCCTCTTACATCCGGGTTACACTGTACTATGGAAGTATTTATAGAAATGGCACAGGGTAGTTATGTTAGCGCGATGGTAAAGGAAATGAATTGAGGTAAATTTACTTATTACAAAAAAAAGAGAGCCCCACTTACACACATATATATATTAAGAAATGGACAAAGTCCGACAATTTATTTATTAAAGACATTTTTATGTTTAACGTTCTTTTTATAGATACAAGTATTTAAGTAAATGCTCTGTTTATAATAAACAGTATTAAATAACATTTACCGGCCTGAATGTCCGAGAAATTTTCATAGAAAATATTCGTCCTTTGACAGGATTCGAACCTGCATCCTATACGGAACCCTCATTTACGCTGACGTGCCTTACCGACCGGCCACAAAGGATCGTTCTGTTGGCAAGGTTGAATTTACTGCTTATAAACTTCAATCTTCCATGAATTTCGTCCATTCATAACTGCTCATGGCGTATCAAATGTAAACAAATGACGTCATATATTAAGAAATGGACAAAGTCCGACAATTTATTCATTAAAGACATTTTTATGTTTAACGTTCTTTTGCCGGTAAATGTTATTTAATACTGTTTATTATAAACAGAACATTTACTTAAATACTTGTATCTATAAAAAGAACGTTAAACATAAAAATGTCCTTAATATATATATATATATATATATATATATATATATATATTAATTGAGTTCACCTCAAACAAGACAGTAAAGTCATTAAGACACAAGAGGTTATTGGTTGTGGAAGAATTAGAAACAGAAACATTATTAAAGGGGGAAATTGTCGGACTTCGTCCATTTTATAATGTGTGACGTCATTGTTGTTTTTGTTAATATTACGAGTATCGTTCAAACAGTAAGGCCTTTTATTTTATGACGCCAGATGAGGACATTGGTGGCATGTAATTAGAAGTTTGAACTTTCCTTCCGATAATCCATGATATTTTTACCAGTCTCCCAGACCGATATTTCGGCATTAAATTCCTTCACGCGGAAAATATACAAACGCTTTCACCACACCCTTCTTTCATTTCTCGTGGTCCTTTTTTGCCATCCATTTGCGCACAACTTAACCGCTGGTTTCCCTGTTAGACGTGCCTTTAGAAGACCCCGTGTGCATTAATTTCTCCAAGTATTGTTTCCTCCTTATGTCGCTCCTGAATTTTAGCTGCCGCCTTGTGACTGTTAACAGCAGTTATATAACAGTTCATATCTTTCTTAATATATTGTCCTTATTCAAATCCCTCGACATGAGCAGTGGAAGCAGAACAGTCTACCCGCGTAGATTAAATAAAGTGTTCATTTCAACATTTTCTGTACCTTACTCAGAACAGCCTACCCCCGTAGATTAAATAAAGGGTTCAGTTCAGCATTTCCTGTAGGTGAACCAGATCGATACCTGAGGAAGACTGGATGACACAGTGGCTGAAATGTCATAAAAGCCACAATGATGAGGATAATAATCCGAATAGAAATAATTTAAATAATAAGTCCTCATCCCAGAAATTCAGACGGAAATAATATTCATTTAAGAAATAAAAGAAAAATGCTACACATTCCAAGCTCTGATGAGAAGTGCGTATTATGAGGATATGTCGGATCGTTAACGATTGACCCTAAACTTGGAGAGGTTTAGATTGTAGTTGTCGAGGAAGCATCAACTATTGTGAAGAAATCGTCCGAATGAAACTACCTTCTGTTTAATACGAAGGAACTGAGTATGTGTACATAAAGATGGTGGTTCTTAGATATAGAGGTCTGAACTAACGGGACTAGGGAATGTAGTTCGTCAAAACATTTTACACGAAAATAGTGACATCGTATCGATTGACTTGCCAGTTTGTCTCTGTAGAAAAGGGGTTAAATAAACCCTGTACTCGAAACAAAGAAACGAATGATGCTGGTTTTCTAAACGTAGCTTAGATGTGGCATAAGGCTGGGGGCACCCAGTGAGGATCGAACCCAGGGTGCCCCAAAATTATGAACTTTTGCGTAATATCACTCTTCCTATATGGTAATGAATACTGGATAAATTCCTCGCAGATGAAGAGGAGACAGGAGACATTAGATTTATGATACCCAGAAATTCATACACAGATGTCCCCAAGGACACATGGCACAGTGGATAAAGGTTAGATTCAGTGACAGGACCCAAAGAGTGAGTTCAATACCCGGTTAAGGCAGTGGAGAACTTGGAAAGGGGACTTAGTAGGAGATCTGATAACTGACATCCATTAGACATGGCACGTGGAACTAGAACAGTCTAACCTGTTTTGGGGCCCTGTCACTGGATATAACCAACACATGGCACAGTGGATAAAGTCGTTGGTTAGACCCATTGACAGGACCCAATAAATATCAGTTCAAGACCTGGTTAAGGCAGTGGAGAACTTGGAGAGGGAAATTAACAGGAGATAACTGAAAACTGACATCCATTAAACATGACAAGCGGAACTAGAACTGTCTACTCCAGTGAACGGAATAAAGGGTTCAGTTCGACATTCCAACAACCTGAAGAAGGCCGGGGCTTACAACGGCCGAAACGTTGTAATAAATATGGCGACAAAGATTAGGACAATAGTGCGATTAATTTAAATATTGTACATAATACCTCATCTCAGAAATATAGACAGATACTGAGACAGCAAAAATATGATTCTACAGGAGGATGCTGAGGATACCCTGGACGCAAAATGTAAGCAACGGCAAATTTCTAAAAAGATAACGGAAACAAAAAGGAAACATGCATAGCATCAGGAAGACACTGTTAAAATTTCTAGGATGCATAATGAGGAAAGGGGGCTTGGCAAATTTGATACTCACTGGTCAGACTGAAAGCAAGAGGAGCATAGAAAAAGAACCCATAACCTACTTAGTGAGCTTAAGTAAATGGATGGCATAACCGGATTAAAGAGAGATAACAAAAAGGCAAAATTTATTAAGAACAAAAGGACAGGAAATTGTGAAGGGCCATGATCGCCAACGTCCTAACGGAGCACAGCAAATAGAAAAAGAGTTCTTACACTATTACCACACCGGCATTGAAGAAAACTGTTTATTTGATAAAGAGAGATGTTCGCATTTGCTTTTTATGTCAAATATGGAGAAAAAAACAAACAATAAAAAAAAAAAACAGTCTAACTTTAAATTCTTTTATCAAAAACAATTTTTCTGTTATTCACATTAGAATTTTTTACGTCATTTTTCCCGACTAACGGATCCCCTTTGGGTCAATTAGTTCCTCGATTTGAATTTCCATCTAAATTTTGTATTCCCTCGCCACGCCAATAATAGGCATCTTGGCGGGAGTCTTAAGAACAGTTTTGAAAAGACGAGACCAAGGTGAATTTTATCAAGGAACCCCGCTGTAGTCTTATTTTTACCAATTCATTTCAGGACTCAGGGCATGTAAGCTTGCTTATCGCTCCCGCAGGTGTCTTATCACTGAAAGCAGAGAATCAAAGATTCAAAACTGTAAACCATTTGAAGGCTTAGAGATTTTGAATCTAAACATGTCGAGCTGAATAATAATAATAATAATAATAATAATAATAATAATAATAATAATAAGAAGAAGAAGAAGAAGAAGAAGCGAAGTGTTAAAATAAATATTTAAACAAAGAAAAAAGTTTCAACTTTATAAATTATTCCCAACAGTGAGTTTCATAGATTTCGTAGTCTTTTCGACTTGACTCCCAGCTCCATTTTTCACTCTCAGTTACCTCCCTTCCCGTGCTTCTTACTGTCCTCTTTGTTTGTCGTCTGCTTTCTCGTTCGCCATCTTTCTCATTCCCTCACACCATCTCTTATTGTCTATATTAACTTCTTCCTTCTTTTCTATTACCCACTTTTTAGAATTTACCTTCCGCCATTTTTCTGTAGAAGTTCTTTGTCGTTTTTTTTCTCATCTTAATCTCGTTCCTCTTTTTCTCCTTTATTCTACGTCCCGTTTTCCTTCGCCTCAATTTCACATAAAGTCTTCTTCTGACTCAGAGAAAATTTCGGGTTAATGTGGCCTTAACTAAAATAAATAAAAATAAAATAAAATGGAAACGAATATTCCAGATGTAGTCTGACTAACTTTATTGCCTTCCTCAAAATGTCTTTTATTATAATTCCCTCTGTCAGTTTGAAATTCAGGCTGGCGATCGTTCAAAATAATGGACAGAAATTGTTCGCAGATAATACAAGAAATATTGAGTATTTCTTTCTAGTTCTACTTCATTAAGCACATATCTACATAAAAAAAAAATGTTTCTTATTTATTTAGTCAGCGAGAAGAAAGAACTAAACATCAAATTGTAAGAAAACGGAACATATGGTTGTCTGTAAAAAGAAGAACCCAACATGCGAATTACAAACTGAATATGCCAACATCAAGCAAGTACAAACATTTAAAAATGTAGGAAGTGTTTTTAATGTGACATTGAAATCCTAATATAGTGAAAGATGCTCATCAACGTATTAAGAAACAGGAAAATCTTGTTAGCAATAAAGAAAATAGTACTGAACTGTTATATCGGTCCTCGTGTATGGCAGTGAATGCTGAGCAATCTCCTCACAGATGAAGAAGGGACTTGAAGCAACAGTAATTTAGTTCTACAGAAGGATGCTGAGAATACCTTGGACTGAATATGCGAGCAACGACAAAGCTTTAGAGAAAAAGGAAACAAAAAGGACGCTTCAACTTCTCATCAGGAAGAGACTTTTGAGATTTCTCGGGCACATAACGACGAAAGAGGACTTGGAAATTATGACACTCACAGGGCATATTAAAGGCAAGCGAGACACTAGGAAGTGGCGAACGAACGAACCTGTGTAAATGATTCACAGAAGAGCGATTTGTAGAAATCGCGAAATTAAAAAGAATTAATAAGAGCTACAAAGGACAAGAAAACATGGTCGCCTACGTCCTTAAGGTAAACGGCAAAAAGAAGAAAAAGAAGAAGTCACCTCTGTTACGAGAAAATCTCAGTTTTACGCGTAATTGTAATGGTGAGATCAACTTTTTCCATAGCGGGAGCGTGATATACTCTTTGATCGAACAGTGGGTATATGGTCCATTGCCCCTGCAATTAACCTGGGTCTTCTTGATAAGATTCAAAGAAGTATCAGCAATATTATTGGTCCTGATCTGGCGGCTCGGCTTCAGTCACTTGTCCACTGCTGTAAGGTTGCCTCTCTTGCTTTTTTTTAGATAAATACTTTCATTGTAATTGTTCGGATGAACTCTATGCTATGGTACGTAGACATTTTGAATTCAAGCGCGGTACTAGACTGATGGCAAGATCTCTTCATTTTACAGTTGACCTAGCTATGTTAGTTCTTTTCTCACACTGCTTGCTTGTGGAACTCTCTTCCGGATTCATGCTCTCCAGCCAACGTTAATCCGTAGAAATTTAAGTGTCAATCGCTATCTACTGTCTTCTTGATTACTCTTTTCTCTTTCGCCTCATTACTAAAGTTTCTGGTCCTAATTCCTCCACACCCTGTAACCCCTGGCATGCTAGTGGCGGTACTGCCTTGCTTGGGGGTGGGAGAGTACCGGGTTAAAAAAAAAAAAATAAAGTCTTTCTTTTAAAACATATGTCTTTCAGGAAAACACGCTTCCCAACTCTAATAATTTTTATCGTTCTTTGTAGTGCTGATGGTCGTCTGGTTGTTTTTTGTTTAACGGCATATCAACACCTCTATGGGTTATTTGATGCGGATATCCTAAATATTTCGTAAGCAATTTTTATTTTTATTTTTAGGGATAATAATGGCTTTAGTCTTACTAATTAACCCGTAACTGGAGGAGAAGAGCTGGCTTCATACATTTCCAAAGGTTATTTGCGCGAAACTGAATATAACGAACCCAACTGGAATTGGAACTCGGCTCTCCGATGAAAAATTCCGAGTAATTATCTATTGTACCACACACGCATCCAAGCCTACAGCACGAGGTATTCCCAAGCGGTCACCCATCTACGTTCTGACCAGGCTCGACGTTGTTTAACTTCGGCGATCGTACAAGAACCGGTTTTTCAACATGATGAGAGTTTCCTTGCGGACCTTTTGGTAATGTGGCAAGTCAATATCTTGATTATATTATTTTCCATTTTAGTTATATATGCTATCCATTTTAGTTGTTGCCGCTGTTGAATGTCTTGTGAATTTTGTTATTTCGTAGTCCTTTGTGATTGTGTACTGACAAAGGACGTTATCGAAAATTCATCCGCATGAAGTCATCTTTAAGAACGTTTTTATATGACTGACAGGCGAGATATTTCTATCTAACACCCACCATACCATAATACTCAAAGGCGAACCATTCTTAGTGTACTGACATTTTACATCTTCATTTGAAAAGCGTCTTCTCGAAATCTGCTACATTATGGAAAAAGCTTACGGTCACATCACGTTGAATCACCGGTTCCAGTACGATCACCGAAGTTAAGCAATGTCCAACCTGGTCAGTATCTACACGAGTGAGTATCAGGTCCTGTGAGCTTGGATATGCCTGGGAAGTGAGGATTGGGTAGTTCGAGACTAGATATTGCGACAATACTCTCTTTTTTGGCTAATTTGACTCTTGTAAAAGTGTCCTCAGTATGACGATAAAGTACATCCAGCAGCAAAGCCTCTAATCGGGAGGTTTTAATTGCTATTGTTCCCACGTCCAACATGCTCCGGGGTGGTAGCACCTGTTACGGAGGTGCCAACTATGGGTAAATAGTGCCCCCCCCCGCCAAATTGGGGTCAAAATTACTAGCAATTCTATTGTAAAAATACTAACAATACATATTTATATAAAAAATTAACAGCAATTACTTTTTGAAAAAAAATTATCAGCAATATATTTTTGTAAAATAAATTACAAATGCTCCCAATAAAATTAAATTTTGGCATTAAATGACCCATAATATGTTGATATACCGCTTAATGAACACGCTAAGAAACTCTTGTAAATATAAAGTATCAACCAGTAAAACGATCATTAATTCAGTCCCTACTGGGATCCACGGTGTTGTATCCTTCAGTCATTTTTAAGATATTATGCTTATGACCAGTTAAAATCGAAGATTTATATATATATATATATATCTAAATAAGGAAAAAAGAAAACCCATAAAACTAATTGGGTTTCTTTTTTTTCAGGTTTTCACATAAGACGTTTATCCATTTTGACATCAATTGTCGTAAGAATCACTGAGAACAAACACTTTGAGTTATTCAGCTAAAAATAGAACAGGTTAAAATCGTTTTATGTCAGATACACTGTCTTGCCAAATAAGCAATGATAAGAGGAAAATGATCATTCAGGCCTTCAGTAATGGTACCGACATTCATACCCTGGCTTCAAAGTCTATTCGATATTCATCAAGAGAACGGGGAATAAGTTTTAAAAAGAGGGAACAGTAAAGAGGATAACTGGATCAGGAGGTCACAGAAGGAAGAGGGATCATCATTTCAAATTAGTGCTAAAGAGATCAATTAGAAAAGATCCAACTCAATTCATAAAAAGTTTGACACGTTAGAGAAGAGTTTCAGCAATGATAGTCCAAACAGCAGTGAACAAGACAAGAAAATGAAATCGTATGTGAAACATGTGAGGTAACTTGTTACTACTGAACAGAAAATAAGAAGGTTAGAGAGGGCGAAGATCACCTGGAATAAGTTGGAAAATGGTCCTGGAATTATATATATATATATATATATATATATATATATATATCATAGGCCTGACGATTGCTTCTAGTATGAAACAGCTTGTCGCCTCTCAATTTTGACTTTTATATTTATATTTACACACGCTCTATCTCTGATATTGAGCACTTTGTCTCATAAATATAGCACACCTTAAAAGTATATATATATATATATATATATATATATATATATAAATATAGTCTTACGGTGTGCTATATTTATAGAATAAAGTGCTCAATATCAGAGATAGAGCGTGTATAAATATAAAAGTGAACAAAGAAGCCAACACTTAGAGGCGACAGTCTGTTTCATGCTATATGCAATCGTCAGGCCACATATGCTGTTATTTTTCTCGGCTATTTATATATATACGGGTTAGTGGTGCATTGTGGGTATTCTATTATGGCGGTTATTTTACCGGAAGTCGTTTGTTTATTTATTTGCGTCAAATTATATTGCTTGTTTTTATTTTTTTATTTCTTCCGGTAAAATACACCATGCACCACTAACCCGTATATATATAAATAGCCGAGAAAAATAACAGCATATGTGGCCTGACGATTGCATATAGCAGGAAACAGACTGTCGCCTCTAAGTGTTGACTTCTATGTTCACTTTTATATATATATATATATATATATATATATATATATATATATATATATATAATCTTCAATACTTTATGAGCTTCCGATCCTTAGCTTTGATTAATTAATGATTAATATGTCATTTTCGTTTAAGATCAATTTCATCACGATACTTCTGTTAAGCTTAGGGAGTAATTATTTATACATTCTTATTGCTCAATGTAGAGTCTAATAGTGCTAGAAAAAACTCGGAGAATTCCAGTAACCTATCTGTTAGACTCTTCGGCTACTATAAGATTAGTAGGACACAATTCTTCGGGGAACTGTGAATAGATTGAGCGCTAGTTCATTTGATACAGTCTCACTAGTCGTGTAATACTCTTCTGGTGTACTTACTGTTTAATATACGATATATATGCAAACCTGGCTTTTGTTATTACTTAACTATTTACTTGGTCACAACAATATCTTTAATCATTTCTAAGATACAACGGTTCAAGCTTAATCTAACAATTGGACAATTTTGATGTTACCCGATTGGGACAATTTTGCTGTTACACCAGTTATATATAAGCAAATATGAATGTACGTGAGAGAATCATGGAAGATTGTAGTTTAAAGACAGTACATTCAACCTTGCTACCCAAACGCTCCTCTGTGGCCAAATCGGTTAAAGGCACGTCAAGCTAAATGACGGTTCCGTATAGGATACAGGTTCGATTCCAGCCGGAGGACGAATATTTTCTATGAAAATTTCTCGGACATTCAGGCTGGTATAGTAAACCTTCTATTTCATTACTTACCTACGAGTTTGGCTTCCTTATTTATTTCATTGTTCTATCTTGAAAACACGATAAAAAACAAAATTCGCCAAGCATTTGATTGTTTTGATCCGATTTGACGGCTTGTCAACCTTTACAGGTTATTTAAAGCTAGAATTTATTTTTAGATTTTAAGAATTTTTGATACTACTATAGTATGCAGTCTAAGCCATTTACTATCATAGCGTGCGGTCGACCGTGCTATGAATTATAATCGTACCCTCCACCTGCGGTATACCACGAGGAATTCGACCATCGCTTCACCTTAACTCTCGTGTCCTGTCCACATAAAAGTCAAAATATGGAGCTTTTACATTAGAAAAGTCCCTAGCTCTGAAACATTTAAGCTAAATAACCTCCATCAGATTAAAATATTGCTGGAAGTTTTTTTTTATAAAGACGTGTCATCTTGACCGAAGAAACAGCAGTCGCATTTTTACGAGAAAACAATCTCCTAGATACGCTATAGTGTTACATAGCGCGGTAGATCACTTACTATGGAAGTAAATGAGGTAGACTGCATACTATAATGTTTGATACCGTGGTAGACCGCAGAGCCGAATTTTTGTTTCTTTGATGTTAATAATGATTTACTGATATAATTCTTATTAGCTGGGGAGGGGGATTAATTTCTTTTCCCAAAGATATTTTTGCGTTAGTGAATATAACAAACGAAATTATTTCTGGTCGAAGCGCTTATTGTACAAATTCACCAAACATATATTTATAAAAAAAACGCAAGAAAGTTTTCATTAGCATGATATCTAATTGATTTATTGATTGATTTCTATTTTTACGGCTTATCAACCGTGAAATCTGGACGAGGTATGGCACGTGGAACTAGAACCCCGGTGGACGAAATAAAGGGTTCGGTTCGAAATTCCAATTACCTGAAGAAGGCTGGAGTGTACAACGGCCGCAACACTATTTACATTATTCGGACTATTGTCCTCATATTTGTGGCCATAATTATTACAACGTTTCGGCCGTTGTACGCTCCGGCCCTTTTCAGATGATTCGGAATGTCGAACTGAACCCTTTATTTCGCTCACTTGGGTAGACTGTTCTAGTTCCACGTGCCATGTTTAATGGATGTCAGTTATCAGTTATCTCCTGTTAATTCCCCTCTCCAAATTCTCCACTGCCTTAACCGGGTATTGAACTTACTCTCTTTGGGTCCTGTCACTGGATCTAACTAACACCCTTATCCACTGTGCCATGTGTCCCCGAGAAACTAGAACAGTCTATCCCAGTGAGCGAAATAAAGGATTTTAGTTCGACATTCAAACCACCTGAAGAAGGCCGAAGCGTACAATGGCCGAAATGTTGTGAATATGGTTAAGAAGATGAGGATAACAGTCCGAATAATGTAAATAATGTAAGTAATCATGGTACATCATCTCAGAGATATAGACAGTTAACAATAGATGTCTGCTGGAATCAGTGGGTATAATTTTAACGATAAACAGCGAAATAAAGGAGATAGAATTATGGAGTCTGGATGCGAATAATCAAATGTCAAAAGGAATGTTGGAACGTTTCTCAAAGACAACAAAAATAAAAGGTTTCTGAAAGTGACCTAGTTCCTGTTTGTATGACCATTGCTCGTCTAAATTTTACGACAAAGTCTCTTTCACCTCATTAGTGAATAGAGTCTCCCTCACCTTTCGAAGGTTAACAATTTAAAAGCAAACATTTACAAAGACAACAAACATTGTGACAGAAAAGACGGAAACAGAAAGGCGGAAGGGAAAAAGACGACGAGGAAAAAGAAAAGAGATAAAATTGGAGAAAGGTAACGAAGAAGGGGGAGAAGGAAGCGAAGAAGGGGGAGAAGGAAGCGAAGAAGAGGGAGGTAACGAAGAAGGGGGAGAAGGTACCGAAGAAGGGGGAGAAGGAAGGAAGAAGGGGGAGAAGGTAACGAAGAAGA